TGACACTAGTCCCAGCACAGTCACCATGACACTAGTCCCAGCACAGTCACCATGACACTAGTCCCAGCACAGTCACCATGACACTAGTCCAGCACTAGTCGTTCACCTCATCAGTCTGAGTCTCCGACATCATGACACTAGTCCCAGTCCTAGTCGTTCACTTCATCAGTCTGAGTCTCTGACATCATGACACTAGTCCCAGGACTAGTCATTATCCTCATCAGTCTGAGTCTCCGACATCATGACACTAGTCCCAGCACTAATCATTCACCTCATCAGTCTGAGTCTCTGACATCATGACACTAGTCCCAGCACTAGTCGTTCACCTCGTCAGTCTGAGTCTCCGACAACTTCTGCCTGTCGATGGTAGTGAAGCAGATGTTGTACTCCTGTATGATGCTAGGATACAAGGAGTTGAAGTCCATCAGTAGGATGTATTTGTCGTAGAATCCTTTCTTCGGCTCCAGCACCAGACCACCAGCGTACGTAGCTTTCTTGGTGTTGCTCACTGGAGCGGCCATTTCATCCACATCGTCACTTTCTTTGTGGATCACAGGAACCTGCCACCAAAAATAAAACTTGACATACAAAACTTTTAGATGAAAATCATTTAGAATACATTTCAGATGTCGCTCATTAACAGAAGAATTCGTGTACATTTTTATATAGCGTGATGTTTTTAATTCAAAACCAGAATAAAAGCCTGGATGCTAACTGCAATACATTTGTATGCATAAAAAAATAAAACATTACTCCTTATTCATTATACTGTTAATGTGATAGTATTTTTTTCACTGCATTCCGTGTCCATTCTTTTGCTTATTCTCCGTTGTATAATGTACACGTCCCAGAGGAATAGTGTTATAATGTGTAACAGACCACATTTGGCAGTAATTAATCTTATCAGTGACGTGCCTTCGAAGTTTGTATGAACCAGACGCCGCGATAAATACTTTGTATAATAATAATAATAATATTATAGACATTAGCACCTTGGCTCTGCCTCGATAAATACTTCATAGAATAATAATAATAATCATAATAATAGTAATAATAATAATATTATTATGCAGACATTAGCACCTTGGCTCTCAGCTCCTTGTCAGGAGGGATATAGTTGCGCTCTGTGAAGGCATGCAGCAGCAGAAATTCGTTGCGCTCAGACCGGCCGCCCAGCAACGTGCGCGACATAACGTTACCTGCAACAGCACAAATTATAAGGCACAGCACAAGTTATAAGGCACAGCACAAGTTATAAGGCACAGCACAAGTTATAAGGCACAGCACAAGTTATAAGGCACAGCACAAATTCTTGATTAAAATACATATGATTCTTTGGAATGAAATGGAAACACAGCAATATGGGAATGTTAATTTTATGGGAATGTTAAATTTTATGGGCAATATACATATACATTGGGAGAAATGTTAATGCGCTGCATTGTCAAGACGATGCAGCATATGGTAGAAAATTGATTAAAATACATAAGATTGGTTAGGAGAAATGGTAAAGCACCAACATCATCGTCAAGTCGATGCAGTGTTTGGTGGAAAATTGATTAAAATGAATAGGAGTGGTTGGACTAAAATGTTAATGCAGCCCTGATAAATGTTAATGTTAAAATGTTAATAAATGTTAATGCACCCCTATCATCATCAATATGAAATGCATACATTTGGGACCTAAAGGCCTGAACTGCGTTAAAAAGTTCTGCAAAAATAAACGTCCGTCGGGAAGTGTGAATCTTCAAGAACGTAAGCACTGACTGCAGAAATAGTTTCAAGATAGAAAATTATGGATGGAAACAAATGTCTAAAAGATGAAACCTCTTGCAAAAATGATTCTAATCTATGAATTATTCAACAAAGTGCAGCATTGGTCATCACATTATCGAATTTTTATATTTCAAGTTCTGCACGAGTATAAACAAAAGAGTACGGTACTGACCGGCTGGTCTGGTCTCCTTAGCTTTAAATCATTTTTTTAAATGAAGTTTTATGATGAATTTTCAAGTTCTGCACAAGTACAAACAAAAGAGAAAATAATTGACTGACCGGCAATATTTGTGATCTGAAGAGCAAGAGGCAGCACGCTGAGCTCGCACATCAGGCGCAACACGTAGAGGCAGTGTTGCATGGACACAGAAATGAGCTGAAGCAACGACTCGTTCGAGCTGAACAGACAAAAGAAACCCTCAGTGTTGCTAGTATCAGTAGTATGATTTCTCATTGATAAAAAAAATAGGTCACGGTGACTTAGATGTAGCAGAAAAAAATTATTTTATCAATTAGTTTAATAATGTAATTTGTCTCCCTCCAAGCCCTGCCACTGCACCACCACCACAACAGACCCTAACACCTTCCTCCCAACCCCTGCCACTGCACCACCACTCAAACCCATCCACCCCACCACCACTCACTCAAACATCTGCCATATAACTCCTGCCCATCCACCACCACCACCACTCACTCAAACATCTTACGACCGCTCAGAGCGCTGCGCTCGCCGTAACTTCCGCGACTCTGCACATTAATACTTTATTTATCATCACAAATTAATTGGTTTATATAATAGCTTACTGGTATCATATAATAGAGAAATTTTTTTAGTTACATGTTCCGGGGACAAATCTATTCCGTTGACCTCTTAATGAAGTCAATGCTCAGAGCGCTGCGCTCACCGTAACTTCCACGACTCTGCACATCATTATTTATCTTGTTGGAATTAATTGGTTCATGTAATTGCTTACTGGTATCATATAAAAGGCATTTTTTGAGTTATATATTCATCTATTCTGTTGACTTCGTAATGAATCAATACATTAATAAAATAATATAGTCAATATAATAATATAAAAATATATTATATATATATAGATCAATAATATATCATCACCGAATTAATTGCTTCATGTAATTGCTTATTGGTATCCTATAGAGGAACAATTTTATGAGTTACATGTTCATCTATTCCGTTGACCTCTTAATGAGGCAATATAACAATATATTATATATCAATAATATAATAACTCGACGCTCAACTTGCTCATGAAGCTCAGGAGAGTTGCTTCAATTCATGTATCACTTCATCCATACGCTGAATAATGCATTACTAGGTTATTTTTTTAGTTTAAGGTCACTTTGTTCTGCATGTCCATTAGCTTTATCAATTAGTAATAAAAAAGATCATATGTTGAGTTTATGAAGGTTAGGGTATATTCAACTTCTGCCGCTAGTTATAAACTTATGTTTGAATTACAGTATAGCATGACCGTATGCTTCAACTATAGTAAAAATAACGATCGCATGAAGGTTAGTTTACGTTTTATCATTACATTTTATAGTTTTATCGCATGAAGGTTAGTTTACGTTTTATTGTTACGTTTAATAGTTTTATCGCATGAAGGTTAGTTTACGTCTTATCGTTACGTTTAATAGTTTTATCACATGAAGGTTAGTTTACCTTTTATTGTTACGTTTTATAGTTTTATCGCATGAAGGTTAGTTTACATTTTATTGTTACGTTTAATAGTTTTATCGCATGAAGGTTAGTTTACGTTTTATCGTTACGTTTAATAGTTTTATCACATGAAGGTTAGTTTACGTTTTATCGTTACATTTTATAGTTTTATCGCATGAAGGTTAGTTTACGTTTTATCGTTACGTTTTATAGTTTTATCGCATGAAGGTTAGTTTACATTTTATTGTTACATTTTATAGTTTTATCGCATGAAGGTTAGTTTACGTTTTATCGTTACGTTTTATAGTTTTATCGCATGANTATTGCATGAAGGTTAGTTTACGTTCAGTTTTGGCATGACAGTCCTCCTGAGCCTGCCTATCCTGGACCAGTTGGGGATCTTGTTGGCCTGGAGGCGGTGCAGCAGGACGCCCAGGTCGTAGCCCAGCACGTCGTGCCCCACGATCACGTCTGGGTCCAGCACCTGCATCCTTGACAGCAGCAACCTGACACACAAATTACCACTCAATTCTGATTCAATTTTTTCTTCTTCTATAAAAATATGTACTTCCAAACAAATTTTTCGTCAGCAAAAAAACTAAAAGAATCCATAATTATAGAATTAATACATCAAACCGTTCTTTCAACAAGGAACTACATTTAGGAAACGGCAGTTTCCAAACTAAACGAAGGCTAGAAACGAACAGCACCAAATATATCAGACAAGTTGCGTGAACTTAGTATAGTAGTAAAGTATCTTTAGTAAAGTACCACGTATAAAAATATTAAGTTATGCTACAACTTTCGAGCATAAAGTTGCAACTCAAGATGAGCAATAAAAAGCAGGAGTGAGCATCACAAGTCTCACATGAGCCCCACAGATGAGCAATAAAAAGCAGGAGTGAGCATCACAAGTCTCACATGAGCAAGGCGCGTTCCGACTCCATCTTTAAGACCTTCGTGTGCTTGTACTGCGCCAAGTGCGTCTTGTGGTCCCAGGGCCACACGGCGTCACCAGGCTTGGCTATCACTGCAACAGGACCACAATATTAGGCTATGTTTTGTGACATAAGAGAAAAGACCACAATATTAGGCTGTCTTGTGGTCCCACGACCACACGGCATCACCTGGCTTGGCTATCACTGCAACAGGACCACAATATTAGGCTATGTTTTGTGGTCCCACGGTCCCAGGGCCACACGGCGTCACCCGGCTTGGCTATCACTGCAACAGGACCACAATATTAGGCTAGTTCTGCACAGCGTCTCACCGCTTGGCTATCACTGCAATAGCACAACAGTATTAGAAAACGCGCAGCAAATAACAAACATTGAGATACGTACAATAAATTTTCAATATTCTCCATTCATATCGCACTGTCACTTTCAGGTTTTCTAAGCCATTGCAAACAACGCAATGGCTTAGAAAACCTTTGGTTAATTTTGTCCGATAGAGAACGAAAACAGACACGAAAACGTTGGCTTTGTTTCTCCATTGAAAAAATTAGGCAGAAACCAAAGACATCACATGAACGATTGCTGATATAGAATTCATTAAAGCATAAGGTATCGCATGAATGATTGCTGATCTAGCCACTATAAACACTATTGAACACTATTAAACACTATTGAACACTATTAAACACTATTGAACACTATTAAACACTATTGAACACTATTTTAAAGTGTTCAATAGTATTCAATAGTGTTCAATAGTGGCTATTGAACACTATTGAACACTATTGAACA